AAAGTTAGATTTAGTTTTACATGTCAGGTAAATTAGTTACTTTACTTATGCATATAAATGCTATATGTAATTTTAAATTGACTAACATTATTCCTGAGTTGTTCACGGATGTTATTCCCCAAAAGGTATAAGACGTCATTACTGCATGGGTTTTTTTCAGTGCTGTGTATCTACAATTCAAAATTAAATCTGTCTGAAGAACAAATATTTCATTTTTCTCTTTGCAGACAGGAGAAGGCTACTTTGAGGCCTTTAAAAATGAACTTGAGGCATTCAAGACAAGAGTGAGAATCTGGTCACAATCACATGGCTTTCAAACCATGTTACTCCATGATCTCAATGTCAGTCCTGGTTGTGTGGGAGAGTGGGCATCTTTTTTTCAGGTAGGTTTATTATTTCTAAAATTTAATTTAACCAAAGCAGGATTAGGTCCTGCCTAGAGAAGCTGTACCTTTATGAGACATAAAGAGGATTATTTCTTGAATTGCTAGTGCTTGGGATATATCATGCAGCCTTATTGATACACAAGGCATATACCGGCTGGAATTCACACACTCTCAGCATAAGGTCAAAAGTATATGTTTGTTCAGTGCTTTTACATTTTCATGCCTAAAATAAACACTGCCTGACCAAACTGATCAGATCTTAGAGTTGTATTCCCAGTCATCACCACAAGTAGTGTAAAATCATGGGATCAGTCAAGTAAGTCAGAGAATCACAGAATGGTTTGATTTGGAGCAGACCTTAAAGATCATCTAGTTCTAAACTCCCTGCCATGGCAGGGACACCTTTCATAGACCAGACTGCTCACAGCCCTATCCTGCCTGGTCTTGAACAGTGCCAGAGACCCCACAACTTCTCTGGGCAAGAGAAGTCAAGCCTAAGGAAAGTCTCCCTTTGTGATAAAAGGAAACTGAGCCTACTTAGGTGTTTTTTGTAGTTCCAGTTATGGCCATATTCTGGAATAAAGAAACAACTTAAAAGATTGTAAAAAAATATTTCTTAAGAAAGGAGTCACAACTGAAAGTACTTGTTTGAAATAATTTGATTAAAGTACCCCTCAGAGGTAGATCAAACACCTGAGTTTTATGTAAGTATGCAGTTAGGTGCTAAAAATACTAAGAGCAAATACAAGCTATGGTAGCAAATTTTAAAAATTCTTGAGACAGTGAATATTCTTGAGATATGGTTGATGATGGTTTCAGTCCTGATTTACTTTCTATTGTAAATTTGTCTCATCATACAATAGACACCACAGATTCTTCTTTGTTTCTCTCTCACTCAGTTTTTCCCTCCATTTATACAATTACAGAGTATAAAGCTGTCAATTTTTCATCTGTTGCAGAACACAGGAGATCTGCAAGGTTCCATAAACACAGATGTCTGCAGTTTCAACTCTGTGCTACAAAGAGATGAAGAAGAATCCAAAATGATGGACACATTATAGTACTTTTAAGACTGAGGCCAAGTACTCTTTTATTTCCCCTTTGGTTTTGGTTTTTTTTTTCCCCAAAGAAACAAACATGGCTATTTTCTTGACACTTATTTTTCTGGGTACTGCACTTTATTTTTCGTGTCAGATTTTTGTTGTTTTTGTTTGATTTGGGCAGGGGGGAGGGACTTTGAAGGGTAATTAAGGAAAGAACTTGTAATATTGTTTGAAATGTGCTGCTAGGTTTTTAGTTGTCCTTGAAGAGCAGGGTTCTTTTATTGCCGAATGTGAAACTGGATGTGTTTTCTGCTACTAACCTTGCCTTTCATGACTTTAGAAATTAAACATCTGCACAAATACAATGTTTACAAGAAGCAGCAGATTCTTGGTAGAATCTGCTATTGTCTTACTACAGATGTGGATATGTTTTACTCTGAGTATTGGAGATCGCAACTGTATTCATGCTACCTTGCTGACAGTATAAGCTCTCAAATTTGGTTATCACTAATAGCAATAAATCAGTATCTGGTATCAGTATTTCTGATCTGAATGGATTAGATTAAAACACTGGCTTTCTACCTCTACTAAGGGGATCTAAATGTTATATTGTACTTTCATTAAACATAACTTGGTTTAATCCTAAAGCATAAGCAACACTTGTCTACAAATGAGTGCTGGGTTGTATGATTTCTGGGAGTCTGATTCTCTTCTTGTTCATCAAGCTAACTTCAGATTATTTTTTTAAAACCATGTCTTGTTATGGTAGAAGTAATTTATGAAGGAAACTTGTACAAGGATTAGGCTAAGACCTTAGTTTAAACAAAAAGCTGTACTACAGGTCACATGTTGTGGGGGGTGGTGTCATGCAGTGTTTGAAAGACACTTCATATGCTACTCAACCAGTGTGGGTTTCTGACATTGTCAATTCAAACATTAAGTGTAAAACCATTAAAAATTTCTTGTTTAAGAAGCTGGAAATCCAAATGCATTTTCTAGATAAGGCCTTCCACAGAACCTTGCACTCCAAAACTCTACTGTGCTTTTCTGACTTTCTGCTATTACAGCAGGTCTGTCTGTAAAAATGTATCCTGCAATTGGTAGACTAGCAAAGACAGCTTATGCCTCAGATAATGGTATCAGTACACACTCTCAATTCATTACTGAATTGTTCTGATTGTATGTAAGGTCTGGAAGGCATATTGATTTCACAAGTTCAGTGATCATAGCTTACCTCTAGTTTTTAGTTCAGGCAAAATAAGCCCAGGCAGTGCCACAGGCTGGGGCAGAGTGGCTGGAAAGCTGCCCAGAGGAAAAGGCCCTGGGGGTGCTGGGACATGGAGCTGCTGGAGCATGTCCAGAGAAGGGCAGTGGAGCTGGGGAAGGGTCTGGAGCACAGGTCCTGTGAGAAGAGCTGGGATTGTTTAGGCTGGAGAAGAGCAAGCTCAGGTGTACATTATCACTGTCTACTCCTGAAAGAGGATGTAGCCAGGTGGGGTTTGGCCTCTTCTCTCAGCTAAGAAGTGACAGGATGAGAGGAAATGGCCTCAAGCTGTGCCAGGGGAGATTCAGCTTAGACATCAGGACTTTCTTCACTGAAAGGATTGTCAAGCATTGGAATGGACTGTCCATGGAAGTGTTTGAGTCACTATCCCTGTAAATGTTTAAGAAATGACTGGACATGGCACCTAGTGCTGTAAGTTATTTGGCAGGGTGCTGGTGGTCAGTGCACCCTCAATGATTTTGGAGGTCTCATCCAACGTTAATGATTCTGATTCTGTGAAATAGAATCCAGTAATTGTCTGTTTTGCCTACAGCTAAGATGTGGAAGTCTTAAGTCTGTAGAATATAGTAGAGTATTAGTACCAATGCAATAGCAGATCCACTCATAGAAGTAGCTTTCCATATGACTTCTGCTCTCTAGCCTTCTTTTGCAAACAGCCTGAAGATAAAAGAGCAGTTCTGTCCCACATGCAAACTGGGAGATAAGAAATAAAAATTTCTACTGCATCTTGTTAAGTTTTACAGATACTTCAGTAAAGGATAAGTAAACAGTGCCTCGTCCTTAATAGTTAATTATTAAGGGAAACTTAAAGGAAAACAAGTAACTTCAGGTTGTTTTTTAACAGAAAAAAGGGATGCAAGGGATAGTCAGGGCAGTGTAACACAGTGACTTGCAACTGCTACCCTTGGCAATACAGCTGTTGATCTAGCAACCTGCTAAACAGAATAAGCTATTTTTTAAGTTTCTAAGGGGATAAAACTGGATGGTGCCAGGCATAAGTGTCAAATAATGTGATTCCCTCCCCTTGCTCCTTTTGGCTCACAGGAATTTGTGTATGCTGGCAAAAAAAAAAAAAGTGGTGTTTTTTATTGACACCAAAATATAAAAAACAAGCAGTTAATCAGAGTTTCTCACTGTAATATGTAGACATATCCTCAAAAGCATAGTACAAGTGGTCAATTTTCTTGGCCAGCTTTCTTTAAATGAAAGAAAACTGATTGTAGTGATAGTTGATGCTTATATTGTTCATTCATAGTAAGGGGGAAATACCACAAATTCTACACTGACGGTCTCTTTTTACACTCAAATATGTCTCAATATTCATAATGCTAAAACTGGATGTGCAGATGCAATCCAAGGTATGTCAACACCCCAGCTGTTTACAGTCACTGCTAAAGGAGACTGGAACCTGCATTACTAGGACACAGCTACTTCAGACGTTACCTAGACAGAGTTATTTGTTCCTCGCATTTTCCTGACTCTTGAAACTGCCACTGAAAAATAGCAATGTCTACATTCCCTGGACTGTTAAAAAGTGTAGGCTGTGGAGGTTTGTATTTTTCCAGTTATCTAGTCAATAAACACAAGAGCTGGTCAGAGACAAGAATCTCAGGAAAACCAGTCTGCTACAATAAAAATTGCTACAGTAATATGCCAAAGTTAATATTTTGACCACTGGAAATCAGTCACTAGCATCAGTGACCACTTGTTTTTAAGGACAGTAGAACAGGCACATTCACTGGTCAAGATCATCTAGCTACAGATTTACCAGATTACACTTAATCTGTTCAGTATCTGCTATCTTTTTACTGATAAAGTCTTACAGGGTTACACAAAGACAGAGGCTTTATCAAATGTGTTACACATCATTGACACTCTATTTCCCATGCCTGCAAAATCATTGCTCTGAAGGCAGAAATATAAACATATTACTTGCTTAGATAATTTGCCCTGGTGCTACATGTAATTTATGGTGAGCAAAATCAAGTCACATCTGCAAGCAAACAAGAAGCTAACCTTTCCATAAGATCAATTTCCATACACACCAGTTCTGGTCTGAAAAACTGGTTTTTGCAAACCAGTGGTCATTGTTCTTCACAGCTTCTGGCTAGCTCCAGCTAGCTACATGTTCAAGAAACATGCTTTCATGTCTTTGTCATTGCTTTGTTTACTGACTGAGTAAATCAGTCAATGTGCTTTCTAATTAAGCTGTATTCTGAAATGTATTTCCTTCACCAATCAACAATGGAAATGTATTTTCCAAATAAAAGACGCGAGAGTACCTGATTTTGCTAAAGACAGTTACTGTATTTTTCAAATTCAATATATTTAATATAAAAAAATACAGCATTAAAATGATAACCACAGGCAACAAAATTTTACCATAATGTAAGTTAAAGACAGCATTAGACTTTAATTATTGATGAGTCTGGTAGACTACTTGGACAAGTCCTTGATTGCAGAATCCCATGTAATCAGGAGTGAACTATGACAGATGACCAGAAGCCTGACCTATTTTCACCTGGGGTTGGCAGCATCTTTCTGGCTCACATCTGGCAACTTGGTTTGAAGGAAAGCATAGATATGTGGCCAGATCTTATTGGTTTCTGTTCCAGAAAAGGATTTCAATAACCCTTTCTTCCTAAGAAAGAAAAAGAAGAAAATATTACATATGTCAAATTCTTTAATTGTTTCAGAATATCTGCCTCACTTGGAGATTACCCTGGCAAGAGTGTGAAAATATGCATGTGATGTAACACCAAGAACACCTGTAGCATTGGAAATGCAGGCTGGAGGTTCATTACTCTGTTCCTCAAAGAGCTGGCTATTGACCACATCAGTTCATAAAACTGATGGCTGTCTGCAGAGCACTTAATCATAAACAAGGCAAAGTAGCAATGTTGTCATACAGCACGTGTTGTACAGACTCTGTCTAGATGACTGTGACTAACCCAGGTATTATAAGGCTGCACCTCATGAATCAAAGAATGTGCATCAAGACAAGCAAAATAACCAGACACAAGAGCATTATTCTGAATTAGTTGTAGGAGCTAGTTTTATCTGTCAAGTGTGTTACTACCAGTTACAGCTTAGGCATCTGTCTTATTGTGATGCTCTAAAGCATTTTCACTTTAGAAATCTAACAAAACCAGGAATATCATTATCAAGACAATCACTGATGTTGTCAGAATCTGATTTCTTAGTCTAGGCAAGGTAAAGGTAAAGCTCTACATGGTGACTTACTGTATATCTATATATTAGCAGTATGACACTTGCAACTTTACATTAAGAGAAATATTGCATATAATTTTGACTCTTAAATGAACTAGTAATTTGTTCCTACTCCACAATGCAAATGACAATTCTGAATTAGCTACTTATTCCCAAAGAGTATTGCTAGCAGGGTCCAATCTTAGAACAGCCACATTTACATCCTCCTTAACAGTTTCTCTATTTGTGTATCACTTCTTGACCCCTTGCACTTGTTAGAAGAGCTTCTACCCATACATATAAAAAACAAAGTACTCTTAAGTTCTTGAAAAAAAAAAAAGAACTGCCTGTGTTACCTCACCCACCAGAGCTGTTGTTGCTCAGAACTACTATGTATTGAATAATGCATAGCATTCTTTATAAAGTTAAATGTGGCTGGCTGCAGTGATAGGCTGTTTTACCAGACAGGTTCCAGAAGGTCTCATGCAACACTGGAAAACCATACTCATTCTACTGGCTTGATTTCTTACTGAGGTCATGAAAGCTACACATCTACCCCCACCACACTCACTGTTGTGGTATAATATACTCTGTAACTGGAGAGATCTGTTCCTCACTATGCTGATGCATAGTAAGATTTTGAAATATGGAAGAAGAGATTTTATTACTTACCGATAATATTCTAGAACAGGTTTTGTTTGTGCATCATAAGCCTGCAGCCTCTTGCTGACAGTCTCTGGCTTGTCATCATCACGCTGAACAAGGGGCTCGCCAGTAATGTCATCAATGCCCTAATTATGGTTAAAAGCAAATACCAGAGTATACTTCTTACTTCCCTTTAAGCATGCTTTGTGTGATCTTTCTATTTAAATTATGATCAATTTCCACTTAATCGGGGTATAGATTTCTGCTTATAAAGAGAGAGGCTGCTGCCTATGTTCTTATCTGGAATATAAGTTGTTGACTTCCCAGTAAATCAGTCTGTCAGTTAAAGATATTTTCTCAGTATTGCCGATGAATATTAGATCATAGTAACTCGACTAATTTGTCCTCTGGAGCTTTCATAGAAAGTAGGGAACATGAAAACAAAACCTTCACTTACAAGGGAAAACGATACTTTTGGTAGTACATTCCTGTATAACAGGAAACGAGAGGTAAATTGGACCTTCATTTGACAATATTAAAATGGGCAAAGGAGTTAATTGCCCTTTGATTTTAAGTTGCAAAATGGAAGAGTTATCATTTAGCAACACTTGTACAAAAAATGGCCTAAAAGTCAGCTGAAGCTTTCCGTACAGAGGTAGGGACCTAATTTGTGAACTTTCGTTCCTTCTAAGTAAGTATTTTGCAAGTCTATTAAAAGAAGATGGACAACTGTATTTCACCTGTTTAGCTCTCTTCCATGTTTTCACTTTAAGTATTGCAGCCCACTGTGTTGTGATGTCTGCTAATTAGTGAAAGGTAAAACAGTTCCTAATAGCAAAGCTCTGGCAGCTGAAGCCTACTCTGGTAAGCCTGATAATTCTCTGCTCCATCTTGCCTGTGCTCTTCTGCAATTGAAAATAACCACAGTTTTAAACTATTCGTTTTAAATAAAACAAAGTCATTATTTCCAGTTGCTCACTTCCAGTGCTTACCTGGTATTTCAAGCTGGCCTCTGTTCCTGCAACAAATCCAAAAACTACAGGGCCTGCTGTGCTTCTGATGTAAATTAATAGAGCTTCCAGGTGAAATGTGATGCCACAACAGCTAAGTTATTAAGGATGAAATACAGTTTTAGCTGAGTTGCACTAAACCAAATCCTTGTTCTCAGAAAAAATTAAAGTAACAATGTGCAGTCTTTATCTTCAAGCTCCTCTTTAGGATATCTCAAGTCGTAAGTTCTTAAATCTGTTGAAAAGCTTCCCTGACTTGAAAGTTTCTATATCCAGTTTTGCAGTACAGCAGCTCTTCCCTTGAAAATAACCCATCCTGATTAAATATAAACACAGGGAAAGCATTAAGTGAATTCCTCTGACTGGTGGTTTGGTGTTTCCTATATATAAAGCATGACTCCTCTGGAGGAAGGAAAAGAAAGCTGTATTTTGGAGTGTATAGGCTGCAAAGAGGCAAAGACCGTGCCCAGATCCTGTGCCAGTGTGCAAGGCAGACAGTATTCCAGATCAGTGAACAGCTTTAATAAGAGCTTACAAAACACCATGGTGTTCCACTCTGCTCCGCTGGGAACAAATACATTGTCCACCGGCTTAAGAGGTTCTACCACGTTACTAAGATACCCTCATACCAGCACAGTGTTTCCAAAAAGATTCTGTGCTCCCAAGAAATGAAATGAGCCTTTTTCTTCTGAGCTGCTGTGTTTTGAAACAACATATGCAAACAATATTTTACTGCAGCTAGCAGATGCAGTACAGCTCTTATTTAGTGCCAACACAAAAGCTTATTGCTTACCTGCACTTTGGGAGGATTGAATTCAAGATTGTAGACTCTGCCACTGGCAGGGTGGATCCAGCGTGCTGTAAGCCGACACTTTATGGTCTCAAATGGCACGTCTAGGTCAATCACAGTGTCTATTTGACATTCTTTATCGAGGGCTTCTGCCTGAGCAACTGTTCTGGGGAAACCTTTTTAAAGGAAACAACTTCATAAAATTCAAAAAGCAGAGTTATAGCAAAAATTACCTGGATTGAGTCACGAGAGAAAATAATAGTTACACAGCAAAAAAGCCAAAAAGCATTGTCCTATTCTATAAAGATGGAAGATACATCAGATTTTCCAGTATCTTTCAATGATACCTTAAGTTTAAGCTTTCATATTTTCCAGATTCTGTACTGCATTGGTAGATAACTCTGAACTTCATATAAAGAGTTAGGAAGTTCCCTTCACAGTTTAATTTGACAAAACAATCATTTTCCAGCCCAAGAACCATGGGGACACCATTGCAGCTTCAGTCCCCAAAAGTATAAACAACAACAAGTGAATTGAGGAGAGCAATATGAGAGGATGTGACTTCATAACCTGAAGCTGTAATTGGACAATTAGCCCCAATATATAAATGTACCAAAACTTATCAAAGTGTGAAAACATGTGACCTGTCATCCATCTTGTGTCTCTCTTGGGTCCTGCTTGGGCAGAGCCACATCCAGGTTCTTGTACTGCCCAAGGTATGCTTTTTTAATGCCTGAATGCTTTTTAATAAATACCTACTTTATTCCTTTAACACCGTCTAGCCTCTGTTCCAGGTAGCCTCTCAAGGCATCATCAGTGTGTCACGGCATTTTAACTTTTTAAACGCCTCCCAGCTTTCATTTCTTCATTTCAGCTAATCATTTTCCCAAAGGTGCAACAAATAAGTGCAAGAAGACTCCAGATTCATATATGCCACATACTACTGCACTGCATAAAAGCATTGTATACACATTGAGAATAATAAAAGCTCCAGTGAAAAGTTTCAGTCAGAAGTCAGAACAACTTAGAAACATCTGTGACATCTCTTACTTTCACAGCTGTGTAAGTCTGGCTTAAGGTGGTAGCCATTACAAACCTGTTTTATTCAGTTAATAAAACTAATAAAACAGTTAATAACTGTTTAATTCAGTTGCAGTAAGCCAAATATATTTACCAGAGACAATCCAGGATTTAGAAGGGTTCTAAAAGTTTGAGTGTTTCAAACTATCCTCAGATGTGATGACTGAGAGAACACTCAGGCTGATCAGGAACCTGTCTCTTTCACTTCAAAGATGCTGCATTTTGCCCCATGAATTCTGTGGCTCCCTACTCTATGCCTTAAGCTCTTAGATAAATCTAGTGCAACTTAGCGGGAGAGCAGTAGGAACAAAAAACAAGAAACCCAAGGTCTCCACAAAGGATTTGAAAAGAAAAATTGAGCACAAGACCTTCCGTGGTCAAGGCTACTGAAGAACATGCTATTACATCCTATATTCACTGGAACAATGCCTCTCCTCAGAAAGCTCTAGCATAGTCTCATGTTCTTCAGTAGCTTTCAGTTTGCGTCATGCTGTACAAGTAAACATCTCCATAAAGGCAAGTACTGATAGGTACAAGCTTGAGAAACTCTTGCATAATGTTGGTTGTCTGGCCATTGCATGAGTGAGGAAAAACATTAGAAATAGGAATTAGAAATAGAGGTGATTAACTCAGACCAAGTGCATTAAGCCTCTTGCAACTGGTGTGCATCACAGTTATGAGCTGCCCTCATCCTATTTCTCACACATTCACATTATGTCATGGAAGTGCTTCTAAATGTTAAGAGCAGAGGAAGAGTCAGGTCTTCAACACTGCTGCTGAACACTGTTCAAGAGCTGCTGATCTTTCTTACTGTTAGCCACCATGCTTCTAAGTTATGCAGATGGAAAATGAGTTTGCTTGGTACTGGGTAACGAGAAAATTCCTCAACAAATTGAAGTTTCTTTACAAAAGCATTTCATTAAAATTGAACTGGCATTTTCTACATAGTGTTTTCTCTATACAGAAAAAGGTCTGCAAGATTTGATGAGTTATGAAGATTCCAGGAGATCTTCATCTAGAGAAGTTCTCTAGATTATACAGCACATAAATCTAAATGGATTATACCCACAGACACATATGACTCACACTGCTACATCTGCTATGACTCTAGAAGCCACCAACCTATTGTAAAGCAGTAAATCGGTGTTTGGCTAAGTGAGCAAGCAGTTCAGCAGCTCTGAACTAGTTTCAGCTAACTGACCCCATCTGTTTGTTCTGTATTGCGGTTACCAAACTAAAGATTTTGGGTTAACGTATTTCAACAGAACAGTGTTGCTCCTACAAAGGCCATTATGCCAGAGCTATCCCTAGTGTAACTCACTGAGTCTCATTACAAATGCTGATGCAGACAAAATTTCTGCTCAAAAAGTTTAAAGGAGCACATTAAGATGCAGCAGAGACTGATTTATTCTCTTATTTATGGTCTCAACACAGTCCTCCTGCTGAGAGCACAGCTATACAGCTACACATCCAGATCCACAAGACTGGAACTGTGTCTACATGGAACCTGTAACTAAAGAAAAAAAAACACAGTATCTGCTGTCTTTGCTTTATTGTTTAGGCTTCATTGTACTGTTTACTGTGGGAATGAAGCCTTTATCTCAGGGAGCGACTAAAGCTACCAAAACATATCACTGTACGTAGGAGCAGCTATATAAATATAACTATAATAAACCACTGAGGGACAGAGACCACTGTGTGTTTTTCACTCCCTCTAAATAGAAAGTCACACCAATAACTTTCTTGTTTTATATACTGAGACAGGTTGTGACTAGAGTCTGAAAAAAACATGCATCCAGCCTAGACACTTTTTGTGCTGGGCATCCAACTGTACTCCCACGGGCTGGAATAACAAGAGTCATCCTGCTCATGAAGATAGCAGCAAATGCTTTTTCTCTCTAGTGCCAATGCTGAAGCAATGAGCTTACACTGCAGAACTGCAAAGCAGTTCACTCTGGAGAACAGAACCAGACAGCAAATGAAACAGACCTTTTAGGACAATTAAGTAATGGTTTTTATTGCATTCTACACTGCTGCACACTTACTTTTCCATACTCACCTTGTTACTGCATCACATTCCTACCTTGCTATTTAAATAATTCCAAAGCCCCATCCTTCAAAACTTTTCCACTTCCCAAGGATTTTAATAAGAAAAGACTTTTAAAAAGAAACTTCTCAATGCCTATTTTAACAAGGGAAATACCATATGAATGATAATAAAAGATACTAGAATTGCCAGCTTTGAATTTTTTCTGGAATGCTGAACTACCCTTTTAAACATGAGTTAATTGACCCTGTAATGCCCTGAAGGCAGGATACACTGGAAGCATTTGTCAGCCAAAGAAACTGGGGCAGACTATCTGCTGAAAGTTTCACAACAAGCTGGCAACCAGTGACCAAAGTAGTCACAAGTTTTCCAGAACCCGTTTTCTCTCCATATATAGTGATATCCAACATGATAACTTACCATCCAATAGCCAGTTGTACCGGTCTAGACCTTTTATCTCATTCAGCATTAGTCGTGTCATGATGTCATCTGGAATAAGCTGCCCTTGATCAATGTAGGATTTGGCAAGGATTCCCACTTCTGCAAAAGTAAAAGTTGCATTACACTATCTCTGACCTCCAGCAAGGGAAAAAATGACCACGAGCCTGCAGAAAAAACTGTTTTGATCGGGATGACGCAGAGAAGTTGTAAACAAGACAGACGACATGCTTGCCAAAATTAAAAAACATCTGTATGATCAACTAGGATCTGACCATGAAAATATGTATGAGATTAATTTGATCTAGCTGTAGGGCAAAACACACTTCTATCCACACACATTCTGAATAAATTTACTAGTATGTATTTGAAATTTGAAGGTGTCTAAAAACTAAAATGAGGAGAGGCCATTAGCTAAGAGTCTTCGAAATAAGAAATAGAAAGGATACAAATTTTTTAAGATATCAGCCCTCAGACTTCCTGAAAAGAAAGTTATTTTCTCAGCTTAATGGCTAGTTACTAACTTAGGCTTCATTACAAATATAAATGCCTTTGGCATTTAAGAAAGCCATCTGTAGTGGGAGACGCTTGCCAGATACGTATTTTTATGATTACTAGAGTTGCAAGAGGAATTACAGATAGTGTACACTATTTATGGGAGCACATGGACACTAGTATTTTGCCATGGAACTGACTAACCTTTAGTACCAGTCATTGATCCCACTGTCTCACTAAAATTCCATCCATGCATTGTAGTTCCAGCTATCACACCATGCTCCTACACGGCAGGCAGTAGCATGCTGTAGTTCACCCAAATCATGGGTATGGCCAGGAAGAAATTCAGTTGCCTGGGTTGTGTCCTAGGCACAAAGTTTCCATATCTTTCATTTATAACAACTACCCAATTATGTTAAGTAACCCAGAAGAGCAGCTAGACTGGTTTAATTGTGGATCTGCAGAAGCTTTTACTTGCAGCCAGTTTAGACCCAGTTACAGAAAACTAAAGAAGAGAAAATGGGATGGACATCCCATATCTTCCACACAAGACATCACCACTTTTCAGTAGAAAGCAATGACAAACGCCACTCCCATCCCTCAGCGCATAGAATGTGCAACAGGACAGAGGCCCTTCTTCAGATGAGGCAACTGAAAAGCAGTACATGCCCTCAAATAATGCAAATAGTAGCTTTGGTGATGAGAAAAAAACAAAATAAAGGAACAATTTCCCCTTAGTGTGTGTCCACATCTGTAGTAGGCTTTGAAAAGTACAAAGACCATTTAGAAATATGCACTGTGCACCTTGGCCTGACTTCAAAACATAGTCACTGTATGGAAAAGAGTCAGACTATGGTGCCTGAGTCCTCCAGCACATCACAAACTGAAAGGTGACTGTCTGCCTGGGTACAAAGTGTCTCTTCTTTTCCCTACCTCCCTTCTTCATACCTCTTTTATTATTCTAGTCCTAGTGTGCTTTGAACCATGTAACCCACAAAAGTAGGCTGGGAGAAGGAATAAATCATGTCTAGATAGTTTAATGTGTACTTGATGCTTGGCTGCTACTGATTTATGTTGCAGCATTGCTCCAGCCACAATGATCTAAAAATATGCAAAAGGCAAGGTTCACACGGAACAATTGAAACTTACCTTGGAAAGATTCATGAGTTTTTGGGCCCAGAAAAATTTAGAATATGACAAGCTATACTTAGACCAATAGAGCTTGAAAAACGCTGCCTTTTGCCCCTCTCTATGGAACTCAGGTCATTTAGAAAGTCACTTTTACAGGAGGAAAGAAATAGGAACAACTATACCCAAACAGTCATACATTAGGACAAAAAAGTTGGTAGACTAGCTCACAGATCTCTCTCTTTTTTTTTTTTTTTTTTCCTTTTTTTTCATCCCTCCTGTTGGGAGTGGGACTTCATGGGATTTTGTTTAGTTCTGAGTTTTTTCAGGTTGGGTCTGAAACCACTGCAGGCGATCTTCAGAATTACAGGTAACAAGTTTCTTTCCTTTGTAGGTGATGACAGGTATCCATGTTCCATGATTTTACAAAGGATTGGCATGCTCTGACCACACTACAGCAATCAAGCTCTAGCCATAATCAGAACAATTACCTTAGCATTAGAGTGGTGGTCACAGACTCTCCCCTGTCCAGAAGAACATGGTAATAACTGCAGAATGATAAGGACACTCATTTCCAACAGGACTTCTCAACAATGTCCATGTTCACAAGACACAATGCAAATTTTGCATTTGCACCATACAACTACTGTTAACTATATCTGATTTTCCAAGGGCTTTAACTGCCCATCTTATTCTAACTCATTTCACAAAGAACTGGAAATTGCAGGACTCTTCTACTATAATCAAAACTTGTTGGTCTTTGCCTTGACTGAACTTGTCAAGGCTCCTTGAGTTGCCCCTCAGTTGCTCTCTTATTTTCAGTGTACTACCAAGTCCTGCTACCTCATACTTCACCTCAACCCTCTGTGAACCATTTCTGCAGCTACTGACTGACTTTCAATTAAATTGCACTAGAGTTTCATCTGGGTTTACTAGTGAATGAGAAACTCAGTAGCAGAGTCTGGTAAATTCTGCTGTAGCTAATTTAGAGCAAACTTCACCTCTTAAACTGTCCACTGGCTTCTTCCCTCATATTCTGGATTTTAATGTGACTGCTAAACTTCCATTTCACAGGTTTGCTCTCCTTCACAGTCTTTCATCTGCCCAATGCACCAAGAATGATTTGTGTAACCACTTCTCTTTCTGTCACTTCAGGCTCCCACCTCAATTCAAGCAATATTGATATTTCCACTTGCAATTTCCTCACACAACCTTCAGCATGATTCTGGTGCTCTGTGGTCTTGCACAAAACCTAAAGTATTAAGTAAACATTGTAAACCTCAAATCACTTGGTAAAACAACATTTCCTTTGTTTTCTTGGGATGGCTACCCACCAGGTCTTACACCAGAAGTTCGTAACAGAACAGTTTTGTGACCCTCTAAACAAAAACTTAAAATTGTGCAACCAAATAGAAATAGCATTAAGATAATCAGGTATATCTACACAGGCGTGCTCCTAGCAATTTCTTAACTTACAGTATCTACAGCATCAACTATGGTAAAGTCAGCAACTGTACTGAAGTGATTATCCTTAGTGAGAAAGCAGAATTTGTGTGAATTTGTGTGAAGACATGTGGAAATCACATCACAACTGCTTCACCTCCGAACATGTTTATGAGTATTCCAAAACTAAGACTGCCAGTTACCTAGGCATAACACTACAGTGATTCACTCACAAGTGAATGTGATATTCTACAGCTTGAAGTTGCTGGAAATAATAATACCCTCACTTCATCATGTGCAGCCTGAGACGGTTCTTTTGAGGTTTTTCACCCCACCATGTAGAAAAGCAGATATGGAAGTCAGGAGGAAACTGTCCATCATTGAAAAATCTACCAGAGAAAGGGACTGTGGTATCTCAGCTGAGGCCAGAGGTCAAGTAGGACTACACAGCAAGAATAATTAATATCTTTACCTAGTATAAGCATCGCTGAATGTAAACACAGACCATGCTGAAATCTAAGCATGATATGAACTCATAAGACAATAATAATTTTTAAAGCTATGCAGTTTGAAAATTTTGCCCATTGGTTTTTTTTTTGAAAGCACTGCTGTTATGCCAGCCAGCTCAGGACTAGGCCTAATTTTGGAACAGTTGTTAACAATTCTAGGTACCTTTACTTCTAACCATCAAATGAACATCCAAAAAAGTCTGATTGCCCAAAACCCCTTCTCTTGCCCTGCCTTTAAAAGGTGTGAATATTTTTCTCTTTTAAGATGCAACCGTGAGAAACCAGGAGAAACTATCAGAGCTATTAGAAACACGGGTACAAAAACCACTGGCTGCTTACAAAAAGCACTCAAGACTAGGAAACGATGAGGTGTAACAAAACAAGGAAAACAGGATAACCCCAGATAACCCCGTACACGTTCACGAAAGAGGCTGGCAAGTGACAGCGTATGCAGGACCCGCGGCTGCGGACATGAGGCCCACTTCAGTGCCTCTGGCCTCCACAAGAGCTGTCTGAAGCCACCCAGCCTCTGCCCGGCTGGAGGTCACACAGAGTGGGACTGGGGAGCAGCAAAGCCCCTTAAAGAGGCGCTGTCCCTTCTGGGAGGGGACGGGAGGGAAGGAGCGGGGCTGGGGGCAGGAATGTGTGCCCAGGAATGAAGGAGCGTGTGTCCCTTCCCTGTGTCAGCGGGGGCTCCCGCAGGGCTGCGCGGGGACCGCTCCCGCGGGACGGGGACGGCAACAGGGATCGCCGCCGCCGCACACACACCCCTACCCTCGTCCCTCTTCCTACCTGTCTTCTTCTGCATGTTGTCCCTCAGCAGATCGCCGCTGGAGAGGTGCTTCACGCCGAAGTGCTTGATAATGCGAGCGGAGACGGTGCCTTTCCCGGAGCCCGGCGGCCCCATGAT